CTTTTTCCCTAGTAGAACTGCATGCATTCTATGACATCATCATCACGTGATTAATCATGAGGTCCAGCAACATGTGTTTCGACATCGTGGAGATGACTATTCATTTACTGTCGGGGTTATCTGGAAATACCAGCCCCAGTGGCTTGGACTTGTGCTGATAATGTCACCCGAGAGGTTGCTATATCAGTCTCTGTCGCTAGGTAGTCCTGAAACTAGATGGAAAAAGTGGAGGGTTGTCAGCCATTCTATGACATGGTGTCGTAGGCTGAAGGATACTAGGTTACCGTAGGTGGGTGAGTTACGACCGCTTGCATGCAGTCCGAGAGATGGCTCGAACCAGCATCCCGAAGCGTTTTCCGATATGGAGAAGAATCGCAATCATCAATGGTGAACTTGCTGTGAATGTTGTTTGGTCTTGTTAAACATAACTGTTTTCTTCCTAGATGAAGCCTTTTATTCATTCTCTACCAACTTTGCATCATGTGTTTTATTATTGTTATTATTGTGTGGCGCATTTTCTTGGTGCCTATATTGTACCAGCTTTTGTGTTTTAAATATATGAGTGAACAGTATGACAGAAATCGAGTTATAAAAGTGATTGAGAGATGTTAACGTACGGGAATTTCTCTAAAATAAAGGCCGTGCAATGCTTTCTGATTTCAAAGGCCAGGTATCTCCATGGCTACAGTTGATGAAACAAAAGTAGTTGGAGAAGTCACTCAAAACTTTCAAACGTGAGTTTTGTTCAACCTGTGTAATTCACTTATTATATCATAACCTGATTTGATAAAAATGAGCTGTCTGTTCGAATATCCTCTTTAATTTCACATACTATGATATGTGTATTGAATTGCTCTGGGAAGTCTATTACTTAGTTTCATTGAGCACTTGTCAATGGGCCACAGTTTCTTTAACTATACAGTCCAATAATTTATTTGGTAGTTTATATCCGAAGCTATTTTATTTGTATCTTTTCTTAGACTGTGGGTAATTCTACCATTCTAACCATTATTATATAGGTATATTAAGTATCCTTTCTCATTAACTGCAGTTAGGGGTATTTAGAATTCCTTTGGGGAGGTTTAATATTTTTGAGGAAATTTGGGGAATTTTCTGAGGAGAAACGATGCATTCCCCTTAAACGTTTGTATTGACATGCCTCCAAATTTTATTTAGGTGAGCGTGGCAATTGTATTTCAGTCAGCGAAGTTAAAGTATCACGTCCCAGATGTGTGAACGCTCCAATTGCCTTGAACTGATACTAGTCGTTGGATAACGAGACTTACCATTATTATAGAGCCAATATGAACGTCATTCACGAATTATGCTGTAAATTTCATCCCGATCATGTTATTAAGTACTATTTGAACAAGGTGTTAATAGCTCGTTTGGATTTCGATTAGCGTTAAGGTAGGTATTTGGGTTAAATTTAGAATCAGGATTATAGTTATGATTAGGGTTAGGATTAAAGTTAGGATAAAGCTTATAATTAAGGTTGGGATTGAGGTTAGGGTTATGTTTCCGGTCGGTATTATTTATTTTAATTAGTTTTATAATCCACATTTCCCTAGTACGTAGTCGTCGGTCCTCTTATTGGAAACTGTAGAAATTTAATCGAAGACTTTTGGGGAAGACTGCCAAATGGGATAAGGGAGATAAACGTGTCTAAATCTACTTGTAAAGTGAAAAATTACTTTTGTTGCGATTGAACACCGAGTGAACGAAATAATGATAACACTAATAGTAATAGCTTTCTTACCAACCGTGTTTATGCAATGGACTAGATTTTCAGCTTGATATTTTCTCCTCATCCACGATCTTCGAATCAAAGACTAAGTGACTGACAGAACATCATGTGACACAGTCCTGTCTATCTCACCTGAAGCACAAACCAGTCCATCGTTATGATACCTCTTCTTTGCCTCCTTCGAGAAGTACACGCGTCGGTGGCACAGCGGTTAGAACTCTCGCCGACCATGCACATGGTTCGAGGTTCCATCTCCTGCCGATACACACCTGATATCTATGGTCGGCCTGCAAAATTCGGTCTACCGATATCACATGCTGAAAATCCTATAGCTGTACCAAAAATACAGTGTGGAATCAAACTGTTATCAAAAATATAAAAAAACATTTTGTTGAATGCCAATAATTAAAAGTTCAGGAGTACATTTCGGTGAACGCAGGACATCAGTGAGAAACGTTTATCTCATATACTGGGATAATCTGCCATCCATCGACTTGGATAATGCTTTTTCTCATGTTTAGTAGAGGTATTCGAATGAGCAGGTTGCAAATGTTTTAAATATTCTCCAGTAGAGTAAACAACAGAGGTCATACTTTGCCAGATTTAACCAAATTTAGTAAGAAAAGTTATATGCAAACTGTATTGGCGGAGGTTTGTTTCGGCAGTCCAGGTTTTGAAAAGGCCGCTACTGATGTGATATTTATGTGCACAGAAACTAAGTGAAAAGCATCTCCCGACTGCTCAGGATTTATTTTGCTTCCAACAGTACTTGTTTAGTGTAGACTCACAGGAAATGCAATCATCTCGAATGATTTTCGTTTTAGTAACTTCAATATTTTGTTAAAACCAGTAAGTTATGCCTAGACTCTATTTTTTAAATTTACTTATTTCGTATGAGGTATTAATTTTAGAACTGATTTTGGATTCAGGGAATTCATTTCTCATAGAATCGAATAGTAGGAGTTTCATCAGACAACCGCAACATGATGAATTACGCGTGATTTTTGAGAGTGATGGAAAATAAAACCTCCGTTGTACTTTCAATGAAATGGCTGAGTGAATCATAGCAGATTTAATTCTATACTAATCTGTTTACCGGATATATCACACAGATTGAAATAATTTTATTTACTGGATGACAAAGTTTCCAGCACAGTTTATTATTGTTCAGAGTCATATAATATCAACTGTAACCACACAATTTTGAAACTTTCTTTTTACTGTTGACTACCCATTGCTGATAAACGGTGATTAAGTTGTTATATATATATATATATATATATATATATATATATATATATATATATATATATTGAGATGTTAAATCTGGTTTAATAATACTTTGGTAAGACTATTAGTAGCGCTTTAAGTAGCGCATTGTCAATAAAAGTGACACTATCGTTTATTTTTATTCGGTCGTTGGGGAATACAAAAACTTTTAAAATAGTTGGCACATTCACTCAAAATTTTCAGATATTTTGCTATTGTGTCAACAGTGCTAATCAACCACTCTTTAATATACTCCACTTATCAATTCTGAGTCGGTTATCGCTAGAAAATCCACCTTCTTGTTCAACAAACCAATCGAGATCTATAAGAGTGATGAATTTGTAAATGATGGGCTGGAATAATTCGAACTAGTTAACTAAGTAGCATGTTAACAGACTGACACGAATAATAAAAATTCCATAATCAGATCATTACCAAACGTTAAAATGACTAATACTTACGTAAGGTGAGAACATTTGCGGACTTATTTAGAATGGGTATTAACCAATCTCAAACATTATAACACTCGATATCTAGTTTACTAATTTGTTACATTTTATTTCCGTATGTTTAACAAGTAGATACAATATTATTATTGTATTACAACCTTTCCTTTGGGTTCCAAGTGGAACATACGGCTTCAGTGGCACTACATCCCCGCTTTGTTTTAATTTCTTCTGTCCCCTTTACCTCACTGGATCGACGATTGCCTATAATCTCTGATCTCCTCTGTGTCACATTCGGACACACACCCAAGTCGTCGTCATTTCCCATTCACCTTTCACTTCAGTGATGGCCTGCATTGCGCGTGGTAGCAGTTGATGGTCTCCTCAATGACATGTAACAATCCATCTCCATTTTCCCCTGCATATTTGTTGAGCAACAGGTTGCTGGTCAGTTTTTTCCCAAAGCCTTTTTGTTATTAATTCTTTCCAGTCCGCTATTTGATCTTCAGTATGCAATCAGAGAAGGCGGTTGCCAATAAAATTCTTCAGTAACCTATTGGAAATGCTTACCGTGATGTCAGTGCCAAGTGTTCTGACCGGTATATATTAGAACTAACTGTCTTGACAAACCTGCATTGGAAATCCGAAACATGTTGTTTATGCTGACTGAGTTAAGAAAATTTCCAAACAGATTTCCAATTGATGAAGGTGAATTTTACCGTCTTGGTTCTATTTGCTGGCTTATGTGTTTTAACTAGTATCAGATGCATTTAATAATAAGCTACAAATGCAATACACTTGAAAGACGACAGACATCCCTTGAAGTCAATCTGAACTATGCCTTACCAATGTATGTGAAATTAACAAAAGCCTCACGACGGATGTATGACTTCTATACGATATTCATATACAAAGTCAGAAATCACTGTCGTAGGCTGTACGACATATTTTTTTTCTGGAAAGTGAATACAAACGCTGTGTATGAACCGTTTATCTTTTAGGATATACTTTTGATAAGAATCAGCTTAGAATAGAAATCATCTTGCAATTCATCATGGGATTCAACCTGTGATCCGACAACCTTAACTCACTAAATTTTCATCATCCTTTTTTCTTACACCTTGGTCTTGGTCAAATCGTCAACCAATGAGAATAGTTGTCTTTCGCCGATCTAGTCGCCTACCAATCAGAACAATATATATTCCACTGCCCTAGGCAGATTTTAATGTGGTTAAGAATATATAAATATGATGTGCTTTCTTCCAATAAAATTGGATCCTAACAGTCACAGGCAGCAGTCTTTGTTTTTTCATATTTACGCGGCTGAGCCAAGCAGAAGACTCCCCAGACGAATAGGTGTATCTAGCAAAAGTCCACTCGGTCTTGTCAACTGTCAACGAGATCTTATATCAGTAGGTGACATGTACATAACACTAACCGTGGTAAGGTCTTTACACCTAGCGTACCGAATCTCAAAATTTCAAAACAATTATAATTTTGATGAAGCAAGCAAGACGAGTTTCAATCAAAAATTTAATTTCTGTTAATAATATCAGTAAGAACAAGTCGTTTGACATTTCATCTATATTCTAAAAAAGCTGTCGTGATAAATAACTACAGTAAACTTTAAATTGATTAAAACTCAATTCTGGCGACGATTTCTTTTATCCACTCCCTTAACAAATCTGCACGTTTAGCTGCTATGGCTAAAACCTCTTCATGATTTATGCTGGAATCATTTTCAGAATCCAAAATACTATTGTTTGCTATTAAAGAGATTGATAACACCTTTATACCACAATGACATGCAACGATCACTTCAGGGACAGTACTCATACCTGTAAATGTAAAATATATATATGGAAAGATATTAGTTACACATGCATCAATTGAGCTTCAGAATCTTAGTAACAATAATCTACCTTCTATCAAGTTATAAACCACAATGCCTCGAAATGGAAGCTAGTGATGCATATCTTGTATACAAGCAGTGAATAACAGATTCAACACATCTAACAAATCATTTTTACCTAAAATACTCCAAGGTTCTAGCCACATTGTTCCTTTGGTAACTCTGCTTGACCGACAGTTAGACTCATGAGAGAGATAGATATGCTTCAAGTTTGGTCACGGATTAAAATCAGTTAGAGAACCCCTAAAAACTTCCAGGGAGTACTGGACAGGTGTTTCGTCCCAGCTTGAAGTTGATCGGCAGTATGTGCCCATCACCAGAGTTCAAATCCAGGTTTTCACTGGTTCTCTAAATGATATCAATCCTTGGTGATCAAACTTCAAAAACAACTCAAATCCCTTCAACCAAACTCTTGAGAATTAGTCTGATGCTCTCTAGGGATAACTGGCTGCCACAGAACGAAATTGTCTGTAGGGTGTTGCCTGGTGAGAAGTTGTAACCAGTATGGGGTCCACCCAGTCAGTCAGGAGTGGGGACAAATAATCGCCACCAATGACATGGCTGGGATGTGGCAGGCAGACAGGTCACTGAGGAGTCGGATCCCACCTAGTGGCTGAGTGGTCTAAGAAATCACCTGCCTTGGAACTGGAAGGTGTTCTGGGTACGAACCTTGGAGGTGGGGACATACTGCTGAACAGTCTCAAAATTATTATGAATTATTTTACAGACTGATAAAACTATCAAGCATAGCTGAGAAGTCTGTTTTTCTTTCATTTACTCAATTATAAACAGTACCTAGGTATATACAAATATAAAAGCTTCCTTTTTCCTTCCAAGTAAATATCATTATCATCATTCAAAGCATCTTTCGGAAATAATGGTCACTTATCACTCAAAAGGAACTCATTTGGCTGGTTTTGAAACAAGCAACAAAAGTTAATTAAGCAGGATAAGATGAATTTATCAAATTTCGGTAGAACTCTTCAAATGAATACTTGACATACAAGGATATATGCACTATTAAAAATAGATTGAGAGATATAAGACTGATAAGCAAATAAACTATACTGAACGACAGGAGTGAATGTTTTTCAGGTCATGTTCAAATAGATAAGGGAAGGGAGTATGAGAGTTCAAAAGTAAAATAAAGTTAATTACGCCTAAATTACACCACTTAAATAAACAATCAATCATCACAGAATGAACTTAAATAAATCAGGAACTGAGAACTGAGTAGTAATGATCAAAGTGACAGTAATAATAATAAAACGGATTAAAATAATGCTACTGAAAAAAGATAGTATAAAATGAATCAGAGATAGTAATAAAAGGGCGAATAAAGTATTAATACTACCACTAGTAATAACAATAACAACTAAAAAGTAAAGAGTATTATCATGGTAGGTTCAGAGTCACCACCGCTTCCTTCTGCACATAGAGACTTGGTTTATAATATCTAGTTGCACACGCTTGCTCCACACTTGTTAGCACCTCCCTTTTTATTTGTCTGCTGACATCAGTGAGTGAACTGAAAGAGTCAATATCATTTCTGTAGTCCGTAAGATGCTTTGTTAATGAACTTCTGACCACTTTGACTTCATCGGTATTCAACCACTTTGGCGAATGCTCTCCCATTCGAGTAGACAATCGCCTTTCTCAACCACTTATGTATTTGCTTCAACAAACACACTCAAATTGGTGTAGTCAGTTTGAAGTTCTGAGGATTGGTGAATAGTTGTCTTTCATAGATTACAGCTGTAATAATTTCTCTTGATAGCTTTAATGGAGTCTTCGTTTGATGACCTTTGAACAGTAAATTGATATATACAGCTAACTTTCTTTAGAACTTCTTGGATAGTTTTACTGGGGCTCATTTATTTAGATTATTTATTTATGAACTTCTCAGGATATCCATCCTTAGATAAAATATCCCCCAGAGTCAATATTTCATGCTCATTTGTACTGTTAGAACAAATTTTGCGTGCTTAATTATTTTAACGGTACAATTAATTTTATATCCCTGTATGTAAATATCCAACAAACTGGGGAAGAGTTCTACCAAAATATGGTGAATTCATTAAAACCTTTTTTTATTAACCCTTGTTGCTTGTTTTAAATTCGTATCGAGAAAAACGTTTTACCAATTCATTGGTTTTTAACACTGGATAACAGTGAAGTTCAACGAGGGATGATTTCATCGATCGGATTCCATTCAAATGCATCATTTTAAGCTCCATAGTGTCATTCACTCAGCTAATTAATAAACCATCAGTCAAATGCCAAAAACATGTTGGATGGAATGCATAAACCTGTGTCTCACGATGTATTTTCTGTTCAGCGGCTTAATATTTGAAGAGGTTAAAGGGCCACTCATAGGATCATCTATATACGGTCTTATTTTCCAGAAGCTGTGATGCGAAAGCTTGGGAACATAATCCTATCGAAGAGCAAGCCCAAAATTTGTATATATTGCGTTGATCACATATTCGTGATATCCACAAAATAAACGACTAAGAAAAAATTCACAACTTAATAAACAACATCTTCAACGATATCGAACTCATGAGAAAAGAAGAATCCGGCGACAAAACTCCAGTTTTGGACGTCTTAGTCAAGAAAACAACAACAGGAAAGTTAGAAACTCAAGTTTATAGATAATCAACCCACATAGATCAAATGCTCAATTACAACCGCAACAATCCAATAACACTTAAAAGGAATTGTATACAAACACTATTCAAGAGTGCCAGGACTCGTTGCAACACTCCCACCTTAAGGAAAATTGAAGAAAGGTATCTCATGGGCTTCTTCCAAAAGAATGAATATCCACAGAATTTCATCAAAAGACATCGACCCCCAAGCCAACCCACCGAATCAAAAGCCCCCAAGGCAAACACAAAGAAAATCCCCCTACCATATATAAAGGACATCTCAAAAATCACTGCAAGACGCTTCAAACCTATAGGAATTGACGTTGCACACAAACCATAAAAATCACTTCACTCAGCTCCATGTCAACCAAAAGGGCTCAACAACGAAAGAAGATAAAACCAACATCATCTACAAAATAAGTTGTAACAACTGCGAAAAACACTACATTGGCTAGAGTGGACGTCCCCTTCGTCTTCGTATCCATGAACACTAAATGGCTGTAAAACAGACATGATATCCGTTTCCTCATATTACTCATATTACAGACAACCATGGGCATCAGTTCAATTGGAAAAACGTTGAAATATTAGACAGAGGAAATACCAAGAACGTCAGAGGATTTTCGAAAGCCTGGTATTCCGGTGAACTGGCAATTAACGTGTCCAGTGGCAAAGATAAAATTTACGAATCCGTGAGAAGAAAATCTTATTCACGGAAAGTGTAAACGTCAGGTCAAGGAAACAATCACCATACCATAGACTAGAAGGTGTAAAAACAGACAAAAGCAACCAATCACTCTCGAGGTCACCAGGAGAGATGACTAATAAACTCTTAGTGAGTAATTAGTAGCTCGATTCAAATCGAAGTATGCGCTGAAAATGTTGCCTAATAAGGCAATCAAAGTTTTTCAAATGAACCATCTAGCTCTGAGTGCACAAATTCATCAAATCATAGGAACAGATTATGGTAACACCAAGTCAAAGCCATAGGTAGTAGTCAGATACCCATTCAACTTGATACCAACCAATTGATGTCATTACAAATAACAAATAGTATTCAAAAACATCATACAGTAGATACTGTTACTGTGTGATACATCTAAATATTCATAAATAACATCCATCCACACATTAATTAAAAAAGAAAACACGTAGTTTAGCTAAAAGTCCCTCTCATAAGCATCAAATTATTCACTTAGCTGTACAAATTTGCTGCTTCCTGGGCGTCATGACTACAGTTGCGTCAGATCCGATTGGCAAGGGATTCACTTAGATTTCGTTTTCTTTCAACAGGCAGCCGACTGCAGAAACTTGTTAATTGACCACTGTTCCAAGTTAGTTTCCTGTGAACTGACCTTCTTGGGAGTTCCTTCAGGTCGTCTTTGTAATTCTACACCCACAAGTTGGCAACTCTACTTGTGACAATTCATCACTACTACTCTCTTACTAATCTTCAACCACAACCCCAGTTGCAAAATGACTGTTCATCACGCACTTTAGGATATTTTGGCGAAACAAACATTAACCCTAACTAATTTTTATTCCCGTATGACAAAGCAAATGAATGCACACATACATAAATAATTATACGTAATTGTGAATGTGCACAGATGAGTGAATGAATTCACCACTTATGAAACAGAGTCTTTGCTGAACTACGTGCTTTGTTTTTTGTATGTCTAACAGATATATCAGTATAAATATAATCCAATGAAGATAAAACTTAAAACACAATAAATTTTCACATTCCTGTCATTTTCTACACACACATATGGCACATATCATAACTGAAGACTGAAAAAATGAATTTTAATTCATATTACCGACAACATCACACCGATTCTAAGTAACATATTGCATTCATCAGGAGTTTCATATGTGGGCCCCCCATTAAAAGCAAAAACACCTTCATGAACCAATTCATGAAAATTCTTCTCCCGAGCTATATCTAAAGCCAGTTGTCGTAAATGATGTGTGTAAGCCTTTGAAAGCTCTGGAAACCTTGGACCAAATCTGTCAAGAAAATGATTATATTGTGAAACTCAATGTCAAATAACAACATACTCATTTTGATTCGGTCCAACTAGAACATTATTTAGCCCTAGTCCAGGGAAGTTGACATGACCTTTTAGGATTACGAAATCTCCAGCTTTATATTTTCTATTAATTCCACCAGCAAGATTAGTAGTGATGAGAACTTTAACACCTAGCAGCTTTAAAACCCGAACAGGAAGAGCGATCTGTGTTTTGAGGTAGGGTAAACAGAGGAATATTCATAACACTCACCTCATGGTTTGTATAACCCTCATACATATGAAATCGCCCTTGCATGACAACTACTCTGCATCCACTAAGGCGTCCAAAAACTAGATTTCCAACATGCCCTTCAACTAGAGGCAAAAAGATGACAAAAGTAGGATAAAGCCTACCGCTTGTTTGGGGAAAGTTAGGTATCTCTTTATATGGGATTGTCTCCACTTCTTGTAGATCATCAACTAATTTTCCCAAACCACTTCCGCAAATGATCCCAACATCTGGTGTGATGCAGGTCAATGTCCGGATATAATCTGTCACTTGAGATACCGTTTTATAGTCAGCAATTATTGGTGAAGACCTAGGAATAAGTGAATCTGATAGGTATTCATAAAGAGTTACATTGTTCAACGACAGCCAATTATGCTAAAAGAAAAAATAATGGTAATAACAAGGATGTTTTGGGTATTAGTAATTTATAATATGAGTAAATACTAAACATTTTAAATCTGTTCCCGCGTTACATACTGTAGATATGGAGAAGAGATCTTATTTCGGTGTTTAAAATTTTAAGTAGTGACTAAAATAAACTTGATCTATACCCTCTTTTCCATGTTCCCACCAGGTAGCCGGAACACCATAGAAAACGTATCGGAAGATTTCAAAAGCCAGCCAAGGAGAAGCTGTATTGCTGTTGGGCATTGGTTCACACAGCCATCAACTCATGCAATAGACTCCCAGAAGAAGTAGTGTCAGTGCCCTCATAAAATGACTCATTGAAGAAGTGATGAACAACCATAGAAATCTATTAGAAAATGATTAATTCAGTCTTCAATTCTTCTATCCTCTATAATCAACAAATTCTGAATAAGAACTTCGGTGGGTGACTAAAATCCCAGAAAACATTATAAACCTAATTATATGTAAATATTTGTGATTAAAGTTTTCAACACTTCTATTAAACAATCAATTTTTGTCTTCTTCATACAGATGAATTCCGTCCGTTATTTCAGGTGCATGAAGCCCCAGCTAAACGGACTGAAATTTTAAATTTCAAACAAAGGAGAGCATCTCAGAAAAAAGTTTACTTCTTTGGGTTCGAGGTAAATAGAATAATCAGAAACATACGTGACCTATTCTCAAATGTGCCGAACTGAAATATGTGAAACATTTCGCCTAAAATCCATTGCCAGTCTGTTGTCTCCTTATTTTTATGCATTTATCACACCGTAGCGGTAGGTAATTCCCCAGAACTATTGGCCACAGCATTCATCAGTGAGCATTTGATTCTGACCCTAACTTTTTAAGTCAGCTTGTTTAGCTGACTTGTTTAGCATACACGCAATTTGGTACGCTGTCGTGTTATGTTCGTTCGTTCGTGCACGATCCCTAGATAGTTAAGCAATCATCTTGCCCTCCGATTTGGTCCTAAAATATAACTAGTAATTTGGACGACTGATTCTGGTGTTTTGCTCTGCCTTTGGTCTAGGCGGAACGAATACCCTGGAAGTTGGGGGTATTAGGCCTTGCGTTAGTATAATTCGTACTCTCCTTAGACGTTAATGCCTTTAGCCTCTATAAAACGAATATGGGTAATTGACACCTTTGTGTCTGAAAATGTCGTATCGTTTGATTTCCTCTTTCAGCTTAGTTGGTGGCTGCAGCAGCTTGACGCTTTATTATTATGCATAAGAGTGAAATATTACGACAGTGTCTACAGAGTGACTGAGAATACAGTTTGTATAAAAAACATTATGCAGAGTAAGAGAATTATACTAACTGTATGAACAAGACAAAACCTCATTAAAAATCCAAAAGATGTGAAGTGGATAGACTGCTGATTGTACATAGAAAAAACGGGAATAAAATACTAATTCGAAAAATATATGACCAGCAATTTCTGATGTATGAGTAAAATTCACAAAATAACCCTTTTGCCTCTCATTAAAAATAACCTAACAGAGACGGAAAAGTGTAATTTACTTAGTATTTTACCAAGGTAGCCAACTCACGATTTCTAATATTAAAAATAGGCAGCATGTACAGGAGACCGAGATGGAAAAATAAGGGTCTAAAGTAACAACAATGATACCGTGTAAAATAAAAATCCAAAAATATCTAACTAAAATGTTTCAAACGCAACTGTGAGTGATTTGTTATTGACCATATCCGTAAGATACCTGAAAACCATACAAAGCTTTCACTGAAAGAGCAATGATGCGTTTTAGTTATTCTTTAATTCTCAAACTCATATACAGTGTACAACACTTGCATACATCCTATAGAAGAAGGCTATGGTCTCTAGACAATGAATCCATGGGTTAATCATGGACGAAGGATGTGTTCTTAAATTTTCCATGTCCAACATTTTTCTAACCATGATAGAAAGTTAGTGAACTCTGAAAGTAAGACCATGCGAATCAACAAAGCTCAGCAGTAAGTGAAGTGTGTAGCGAAAGACAAGCACTCACGATAACAAAATAGAATTATTCGAAAATGATGCAAAACGGAGCAAAAAACCTTGAAAAGAATGATCATCATAGTAAACAAACAAATGTCCAATGAGCAATAACCTGTGTCGTTTTTATGGGTTACTTGGGCCCTGATAATTTCCATGAGCATTCACTGAGATGATTTTTAACCACAGAAGCCCTAAATAAAGTTACCTAATGAACGGATTGATGACCTAGTCAAGTTTATGTACAGATATCGGTTTAACCTGACTATGAGGACACCTGTGAGAAATTTGGAGGTTTTTAAGAACTATGTAGCCATTTTTGACATTGAATTACTTTTATACAGACGTTTATGGCAAATTACGCACTCCTACTTCTTGCGAACCTTCTTAGAGATTGTTTCATTTAGACCTGATGTAGTTAAGAGTCACCCTAACTGGTTCTAAATTAAACGCTCCTGGTGTTAGACAAAATTCTGTGTGGTGCGTCCCTCCACTTGAATGGCACAGTTTCGAATGGTTACAAGGTAAGTGGTGCAGGGACTGGCTGTATGTCGTTTAGAGTGTGCGGTTTGTTAACAGCATGTCTCAGTTATGCATAAGCTTAATCCTTTCACTCAGTTGTCTTCCGAGAGGCAATATAACAACGTTATAATGTTTTTATTTGGTGTTAACGTGCAAATATATTGGTAAAAGATCTAATAGTTAAAAATAAATCAAGGCGATCAAAAAACACAAATGATTGGATCAATAGATAGTGCGGACAGGTTGACTCAAGGGGGAATAGGAAAAGTACAGGTTCTAAATGTATACATTTTAATAGACTTTGATGCGTGAGGTTCAAAGGCACAGACTATTTGAATGTAATCACTGTGCATGCTTTCCTGGCCTCCACTTTTAGTCTCTCACAGATAGTCCACAGCCGCTACTAAAGTGTTGCATGGGTGGAAAAGTTTATGCGAAAAAACGCGGGAGCGCACTCGAATCTTGGCTTTCTGAAGCTCTATCATTTAATGGTTGACACTAAGAGAACCACAGTGACTGAGTAGTGGAGTACTTTTATTTGAATGACTGTGGTCATTTGCAATCTTGCAGGCAGTAATAAGTTCACTTGCAAGCCGACAGCAGCTAAGTCCAAAAGGACCTGATTTCTTTAGACCTTCACACGGTTTGTTTTGGTGACTCACCTCCCGTTTTTCACTTGTTTGTGGACCTCTTCAAAAGACTGACGTCCCTTTAAATTAAAGGAAGAGCATTTATACTGTGCATTTCTGGATTTGGTTGTTTGTGTGCCTTGTACGACCTTGGAAAAAGCCCATAATTGAGCACACAGAACTATATGTGCGTAAGGTACAAAACTGCATATGCCTCTGCAAAATCATCGGGTTAATTCACACTTTTCCACTGGAAAAGGACCTAAAACGCAAGCTGACCTTACACAGGTCAATTTGTCGTCATATATGGAGTATCTTATATCATATGGCATACTGCAAGGTTGTTAAACCACTTTGAATTTTAGGTTCGAAGTCATAACGCAGACTGGTGTCTAGTCTTCCAGGATTTTCAGGCTTGCCTGAAACTCACCGCTCTTCAAATCTACGCGTCACCAACACGAAAGATAGCCGGGAAGTCTGTACGACATGCTGAAAATCAAAGACTTCACACAACTTAGGATTAAACTCTGTGGAACTCTCAATGACGAGCTGTGCCTAGACGACTGGAAACAATTGGCCTTTGCATAGAATTCTTCTCCATATATGTAGTCCTCTTACCCTAAAGAAAATATATCGGTTTTACATGTAGACAGCTTTCGGGAAGCGAAAGCTAAAGGTATCCAGACATTATTCATGAGTCATTGTAGGACAGATTCTATCGCTCGACCAAAACAACGAAGCTTAATATTTAGGTGCAGTAACATAGTGACGTCGACTTTAGCCACCTTGACTAGACTAAATGTTTCCAGTGAGTCAAGAGTGAAAGTCAGTGGGAAGATTTGGATTGCTTGTACCTTTTCATGGAAGGTTTGAATCTCATGTTTGTTTTCATTTGGAATAGCTATCTGAATATCATCCAGACTGGCAAAGTCGTGGCCACACAAGACATTGTAAGTGGAACGCTGAAATGGCTGAGCTGCGCTGCATAGACCGAAAGACATGAGAAAAAACCAAAAAGATTATTAACTCCTATCTTCAGGATATCACCAGGATATACGGGGGTCTAGTTCTCTTCACCTGTCAGATCCAGCTTGCTGAAAACTGTTGAGCAATCAAAAGATGATGTTGGGTCGGGTATTTGTGAGACTGGGTAACGATCAGAGACTGTTTCAGTATTGAGCCTCTGGTTATCACCTCAGTGCCCCCAGTTCATGCCACTGTTTTTTTCACTACATTTAAAGATGAAAACCGCGGTCTGTTTGTTGGTCTGATTATCCTTATTTCGAGGATTTGTTTAGACTCATCTTTAACAGCTTGTCCTTTCCGTGGGGACAGCCGGCGTAGTCTCGCGTGAATAGGTGGGTCGGTAGTCGCGATGTGATGAGTAACATTAGATGCCATACAAGAGACACAACTATAAGGCTTGAAAATGTTGGCAAAAGACTGAATTGTGGCATACAAAGGATCTGAATTGTGAAGAGTTGAGTAGATCGGGCTGATAGAGGGTTTTTGGGTGATAATACAGGAGATAGAAATTCATGTCATGAGGTCAATCAGCTTGTGCTTGCCACCAACTACGATCAACTGATAGCGATGCAAAAAATTCAGCAGTTACATCGGCCGCGATAAAAACCCGACGAAAAGTACAGAGAAGTCCGATATTAATGGCCACTAACCTTCTACCACAAGTCGCGATTAGCAAAACATTGGTGGCATGTGGTCTTAGGGATGTTGACATCAGATTCCCTTCCGTTGTGGATGGGGTTACGCCGCACTTTTCTACAGCATCCACCAGGGAGTGTACCCTAGAATTGCCGTCTGTGACACAGAAGACGTACCAAGGTAGTGATTCGCGAGTAATGTTAGCCGCCATTACGTGTCGGCTTAAATGACTCCCAAATAACTACTGCCGAAGCTGCACAGACAAGTACAACCTTGTTTATTGGCATCATAACGTCTGTGACACCAAAACAAAGCCAGGCTGCAGGGTTCTTGATTTCGACCATCTGCTTCTGTTAGGCGAAGAGTACTTGCCAGAAAAGCGAAACGCGTGATTCTGTGGAGGGCTTCCGACTCGAAGCTCCTTCGTAAGACTACACAGCCCATGATACATACGTTTGATGTCGTAACGGGATGAGTCACTCGCACAATGGAGGTCATTCCGATACGAAGTTAGTGGACAAGGTCGCAGAAACGGCTGTGAATCGTCGACTCACCTCTACGAATTTATCATCTGACTCTGGTATCACGCCAAGTGTGGCTTATGAAGGGTGCAAGGATCCCTTGCACTTCTTGAGGTATCCTTCGCAACCACAATTATTCAGGAGGGTTTCGTGAATTTTGAAGTTAGTGACTGACTGTTTGATCTGACGAAGCATTCGGAAGTGCATAGGTCTCCAAGTTCAACATTCCTGAGTAGTTTGCTGTTGGCTAGTGACACTTTTCTTTAGAGCTGCTAACAGACTATTGTATAGGTCTTGGGATTGGTCATCAAGGATATTTGAAAAGTCTTCAATGATGTTTTAAGGAGGACTGACAATTAGCATGTTGGCCTTAGTTTCTTCTGAATGTATATGCAGCAAAGTGAACTGGGCGCAGGAGAAAGGTTTCCAGCCATGGTTAGGTAAGGTATAGGATGTGAAATAATAAAAAATGTCACCATGTAACGACAGAAGGCAAGAGTCAAGCAACAGATCGTTTATTAAGGAAATCAGCACACATTTATACATTTTAATGTACATTATTATAGCTTATTCAAGCAAACAAACACAGATTCATGATTGGCTGTTTCTCACAGAAAGATAATCTTGCATCTATTTGTGACTATTTCTTAAAATTCAGGTCATCTTTATCTTAACTGTATCCGCCTACTCAAAGTGTGGTGTGGTTGTTTGTTGAATCAGTCTTCGAAAAGAACAAGAAGTTCAGCAAAGATATCTTCTCGGTGATTTCATTCTCAAAAGCTGTACAATCGCATTTATTTAGATTAGTTTACATGGATACAATTCTTATTTGTTTAATTCCACATAGTAACAAAGGTGATAATAACTTTCAACTTGTTATGAAAGTTTGAAGGTAGGAATAGAGATTACAAGGGGCTTAGAGACAAGATTTCATAGGATTAGAAAATAGTTACAACGTATGCAAAATTAATACTTGATAACTGGAGAATTGATATTAAAGGCGAATAAAAGGTGATAATTGTTTTCCACTTGATATGAATTATAAGAGGCTTAGAGACGCAGAGATAGAACGAATTACAGGTGTGAACAAAATGAGCATGGAAACAAATTGAAATCAAAATTTTCAACTTGAAATGTAAGTTAGGAGGTATGAATATAGATTACAAGAGGAACAGAAACAAAAAATATACAGGATTAGAATATAATAGTAAAATGGTTATTCTAAACGGATTACAAGTGTGATCAGGAGGAGCATGGAAACAAACTTAAAATAAATGATTTTATAACTGAAAAATAGGATAAATTGAGTGAAGGCAAAGAGAGAAAATTACACACGCAGATAACAAAACAAAAATAGACTGAAGGATAAGGAAACATACCGAACAAGGTCCATGGTAGTTGTAAAGGCTGGACTAGTTTCTTTTGAACACATAGCTCTGGCTTTCAGATGCATATGGCGAGAGCTTCTGCAGTGCAAAGAAGTCGGAAACACACTGTCATTGGTAGATTTTTGTTTACTTTGTAAATGACTCTAAATGATGAGTCGTTTGAAATTCTGTGACAGGTATTGACGAGATGTTCAGTTATTGCGCTTCTGACTGAACCAGTGCCTCCTCTTTGCAGCCATGCTGGATGATGTTCTCTAACACGTTTAGAACCCGCATAGAACGACCAATGTACCTGGCTCCGCAAGAGCAGGTGAACTGATAAATCCACACTGAAGT